TTAAAGCCCCTTACTCTTCCCTTTGGGAGGTGGAATGACTCTTTGATGAGAAAAATTGGGGAAGGCCTGCTAGCTACTAATGGTCCTATCTCTTGCCTTGTGGATTGGAGTGTCAGGCTCCTCTCAGCCTCTGGTCTTCAGGTAAGGAGTACAGGTAGGGTTGTTCCTGCTCTAGTGCCGGGAAGCACTATACATTTGACACCTGAACAACGTGGGGGTTAAAGGAGCTGACGATTGAAAATCTGCGTATAACTTTCAAATCCCCCCAAACTTAATTGCAAATAGCCTACTGTTGACTGGAAGCCTTACCGATAACATAAATAGTTTATTAACTCATATTTTGTATGTTATATGTATTATATACTGTATTCTTACAGTAAAGTAAGCTAAAGAGATGAAAATGTTATTAAGAAAATTATAAGATAAAATACATTTTCAGTATTTATTTTTTTACATTTCAGGTATAAGTGGACCCTCACAGTTCAAACCTGTGCTATTAAAGGGTCAACTATAGTTCCTCAGCTATGACTGAGGGGGTGGGGCATGCTGAGTCAAGGGAAAAGGAGTAAGATGCTCCATTTTGGCCTTGGGTCTAAGCCAGCCGTGGGCAAACTACGGCCCACGGGCCGGATCCGGCCCATTTGAAATGAATAAAACAAACAAACAAAAGACCGTACCCTTTTATGTAATGATGTTTACTTGAATTTATATTAGTTCACACAAACACTCCATCCATGCTTTTGTTCCGGCCCTCCGGTCCAGTTTAAGAACCCATTGTGGCCCTCGAGTCAAAAAGTTTGCCCACCCCTGGTAAGGCATGTTCTTCAGTCTGACTTTACCCTCAATAAAGTTACTGTATGGACTCACAGTGGCCTAGTGGAGTAATTTAAAACAACAAAGCTGAATTAACTTTCTGCAAACATTGGGAGACACAACTGAGAATTTAGGAAGGTCATCTTTTGGTTCCTTGTGTGTGTTCTCAATAGATCATCTTCTACACACCTGGTATAAAACTCTGTTATTTTCCCCAACTCACCATCTTCTCTTGGGTGGTAGTGCTAACTCAATATAAAAAAAAACTCAAAAAATTATATATACTTTTCCATTTTGATTTTTCATTTCTTGGGATGAAAGATTTGGTCAAAAGCCTTCCTCCTCCATCTCTATCCCAAAACATTAAATTTTTGTGACTTCAATAAAACGTCAATTATTCTTTTAAAATGAAAACCTGGCAGAAAGACTTCTACTAAATTAACTTCCATAAAGGACTGATGAGTTGATTCAATATTTATTGAATTCCACAATGCACCAGGCATCACAGAAACACACAGAAAGAAGCAATTAATAACATGACATTTTTTGGAGAAGATAAATTAGCAACAAACAAATCAGAATATAACAATAGAACCTAAATACTAAATTATTTGAATGATTTGGTTTGCTTATTATTAGTATCCTTGAGGTAACAAATGGAAAGAACAGAAATGAATGCATCTAAAAAGAAATATCTATAATCCTACCACACAGCAGTTAAGCATTTGCCTGCCAAAAGAGATAAATGATGTTCTTGCGAGCATGTGAAACTTATAAATGGCTGCAGCGAGACTCAGGATGATAACAATTGTGCTAAAGTAATAGCTCAGAAAACCATAATTGCTATTTAGTTGCTTTTTGTTGTAAAAGTGCAGAGTCTGGGGCAAACTGGTTAGTGTGCTGTGTTTGTGGTCTTAGACATGTTTCAAAGATATTTAGGCCATTTCAGATGACTCACGAATTTTAGCTCCTGAGAAGTATAAAGTAAAGATGACCTTCCTAAATTCTCAGTTGTGCCTCCCAATGTTTGCAGAAAGTTAATTCAGCTTTGTTGTTTTAAATTACTCCACTAGGCCACTGTGCGTCCAGACAGTAGAGAATTCTTCCTTTCCTGATGTGCCACACATTTCAGGCTCTCGGGATTCTCTTCAGTAACCCCTACACAATGGACAGGAATGCAGCCTCTCACTGCAGTGGGCTGCAGTACCAAGAAACCGTTCAGAAAAGTGCACATGATGCAGTGCTACCTGCCAGCCGGCGTCCCAGGTGCCTAGGCAGCCTCTCCCGACTCGTGCAGCCTACACTCTGCCATTCAACATTCCCACCCTATACAGCCCCTGCAAGCGAGGTCCTGCAACCCCCAACTGAGATGCAGTATATCAACAACTTGAATGTTCATTTTGTTTTTGGAAACAAGTCGTAAGTAAAAAAACTTCATCCATTGTTTCCCACGTTTATGAATCTGGCATTTAAGACATGCATTAGGCAATGCCTTTTTGAGTTTCCTTTAATGCTTACACACCGTAATATGTTAAAATGGAAAAGAACATCAATGGTTAAGCTTTTATGCAGAGATGTACAATTGATTTTGTATCATTAGGAAACAGCGATATTGAGATCCTTCAAGCAAATAACAAACCCTAAGCATTGTCATGGATTCTTGGCTTTTCAGAATTTTACAAATTACTTTTTTTTTATGATACAATTCCTTCCGTCTCTTAAATATTCCGAAGAGTCCACCTTAGCAGTTATTAGAAACACCACAAATGCAGTAATGTGTTAACTTGCCTTTATAATCACTGCTTTCTTATGCAAGTAAATAAAACAAACAAAACCCAGCTCCGCACAGCACTGCCATGGGAGCAGCAAAAGCCGCGCG